CATCTTATGTTTTCTATGTGGGAGTGTAAGGTTCGTATGGACACCTTATGTTTTCTGTGTGGGAGCGTAAGGTTCGTGTGGACATCTTATGTTTTCTGTAAGGGAGTGTAAGATTAATGGACCTCGTATGTTTTCTGTGTTGGAGTGTAAGGTTCGTATGGACATCTTATGTTTTCTGTGTGGGAGTGTAAGGTTCATATGGATATCTTATGTTTTCTGTGTGTGAGTGTAAGGTTCATATGGACATCTCATGTTTTCTGTGTGGGAGTGTAAGGTTCGTATGGATATCTTATGCTTTCTGTGTGGGAATGTAAGGTGAACGGACATCTTATGTTTTCTGTGTGGGAGTGTAAGGTACAAATTGACACTGTCTGTTTTCTATGTGAGAGTGTAAGGTTCATATGGACACTGTCTGTTTTCTATGTGGGAGTGTGGGGTGAACGGACATCTTATGTTTTCTGTGTGGGAGAGTAAGGTGAACGGACATCTTATGTTTTCTGTGTGGGAGTGTAAGGTACAAATTGACACTGTCTGTTTTCTATGTGAGAGTGTAAGGTTCATATGGACACTGTCTGTTTTCTATGTGGGAGCGTGGGATGAACGGACATCTTATGTTTTCTGTGTGGGAGTGTAAGGTACAAATTGACACTGTCTGTTTTCTGTGTGGGAGCTTAAGGTGAACGGACATCTTATGTTTTCTGTGTGGGAGCGTAAGGTTCGTATGGACACTGTCTGTTTTCTGTGTGGGAGTGTGGGATGAACGGACATCTTATGTTTTCTGTGTGGGAGTGTAAGGTACAAATTGACACTGTCTGTTTTCTGTGTGGGAGCTTAAGGTGAACGGACATCTTATGTTTTCTGTGTGGGAGCGTAAGGTTCGTATGGACACTGTCTGTTTTCTGTGTGGGAGTGTGGGATGAACGGACATCTTATGTTTTCTGTGTGGGAGTGTAAGGTACAAATTGACACTGTCTGTTTTCTGTGTGAGAGTGTAAGGTTCGTATGGACATCTTATGTTTTCTGTGTGGGAGTGTAAGGGGAACGGACATCTTATGTTTTCTGTGTGGGAGTGTGGGATGAACGGACATCTTATGTTTTCTGTGTGGGAGTGTAAGGTGAACGGACATCATATGTTTTCTGTGTGGGAGTGTAAGGTGAACGGACATCATATGTTTTCTGTGTGGGAGTGTAAGGTGAACGGACATCATATGTTTTCTGTGTGGGAGTGTAAGGTGGACGGACACGGAGCACGGAGGTACGGACACTTCATGTTGAATACGCGGCGAATTCGGGAGATGCTCACGTTTGGCGTGATATATAAAGTTGGTGAATGAGAAGGATGAAATAATGAAAAGATTTTTAAGTAGCATTGTATATTGTACCGGAAATCGATTGCGCACATTTTATCCAAGCTTGGAATCGAAATCGGAACCAGCGAAGGCATTAACCACTTGGCAGCCCGTCATAGAATCGGAATCCACATTCAGACATACACAGATCGATGAAGTTTGAGAGGTGAATCTCATGTCGCCTTCATTTTGATTTTTGTATTTTGCCAGAACCGTGCATAGAAATGATATTCTTAAATGAAAGCGACAAAATCTCTACTAAAAGCAGAGTCGATTGTACGATTCCGACTGTATCACGAGTATGTGTTTTTGAATCACTTTAAAGTAGTGATTAAAACACCTGATAGGGCATTCAAGTTAATCAATGTTGGAATTTCGTACTGGGACTCAATTTTGGGGACAAAATGATATATACAGTAACTTTATATAGGTTGATTTCAATTACAAAATGCATATGGGTGTATGCTTCATATAGTTGGTGTAAACCTTTATTAACAAGCTTTAGAATAAACATTAGCCATAGAATGCATGCCATAATGATAACTTTCAACAAAGTAAGTGTTTTTGTTTTGTTTACGCCGCCTTATTCCAGGTATATCAACTCAATATGCAAAAGTTCGAGTTTGGACCAGACAAACAGAAGCTGACAGTATGATCAACGACCCATACATTTGAATTTGATTATGTACAAAATCAACTCAAAAATATTCTTGGAATCTACGAGACCGCTGTTAGATTACAAGTGTTGTGTTCGCTGCAGTGGAATATCAAGTGTTATGTTCACTACAATGAAAATGTAACTTTTCTCAACTTCAGAAAACCCACTCTTTTACACTGAAGTATATTACAACAACTTGATTTTTCGAATTAATGTTCATGTTATTAAGTCGTAAGGCTACAAGCATCGCATCAGAACTTCGTGTAACAGAAGGAGATGAGACTGTTGAACGTATGCCAACGTTTTACAGCGTCCATTCCGTCACCCCGCACAACCATGCACGCCAAAGGGTGGCATTCTTGTTTCATAAGCAGGGTCCAAGCTACCCAAACCTGTTCATATTGATAGATATGATCCAACAAGAACAAACTGCTGAATAACAGAGGCCGCCTGCCACCTAAAAGGAAAACATACAGGACGCTTGCTACCTATGAAGAAAGAATATATAGGTCACCTGCCACCCGAGAAGAAACCATACAGGACGCTTGTCACGTAAGAAGAAAAAGTACGGGGCGCTTGATAATGCCCTGCAGACCACCCAACGCCAGCTCCTGAGTGCCATCGACCACCCAGCACTATCTTGAAATTGTGTGACATTATGATGGCTTGAAAATGTAAATGTGCCCATTTAAAAAATCTGTCAGATTCTATATACTATTCCACAATTATTTGTTTATGAGTGCTAGTATGAAAATTGTGTATTTTGATTGGTGAATTTCGAACATATGAAATACATGTGATTGAAAAAGGAAATGTATATCCTTGTTAAATTTCTTTTTTAAATATCGGTTCGGGGCCGTCGCTTATGTATCCATGATACGGTGTTCTAACAACAGTGCCATGGTTAAATTACCGTGACCCGAGGGCAGAGCGGGAGTTAATCCATGGTATAAGGGAATAATTCATTTTTCGGTAATTTCACACTGAAAATGGTCATTTTCCAGCCATGTTATTAAATTTATAAATTCACTAATTTGATTGGTTGAGAAGTTACCACGGCACTACCTTTCGCCCAGACACACATCTACAACCGGATAAACAGTCGGTATACTATGTCCATGGCGATGGCCTGAGTTGAACGTAATGACATGACAACTAATCATTTCTTCAAACAATGATTTATTAAAACGTTTATTTATTATTGTGCTAAGATTAGTTATTAATCACAAACATTGCATTTGTATCCACCATCTATTATTACAAAACATTAAACATAGTCAAGCCGAAGTCGGCGGAATGTAAACAATCGAACCAAGACGGCTTCGCTTGTGTACGTCCAAAGTTTCTCACCGCATCAATGTGGACTTACCGTTCAAGGGATTTTGGATGAAAACAGTCGGTACTTGGTCGGCATATTCATATGAGGTTAAGTTAAGCAAGATAAATATATCTTCACTGTATCAAAATGATATGTAACACGAATGTCATGTTTAGGTGAACGCTTGTAAACCTGAATTGTTCTGGAGCCTCTTCATCGATTCCGGCACCTTAGCTTAGCATTCTGAGTGAGTGAGTGAGTGAGTGAGTGAGTGAGTGAGTGAGTGAGTGAGTGAGTGAGTGAGTGAGTGAGTGAGTGAGTGAGTGAGTGAGTGAGTGAGTGAGTGAGTGAGTGAGTGAGTGAGTGAGTGAGTGAGTGAGTGAGTGAGTGAGTGAGTGAGTGAGTGAGTGAGTGAGTGAGTGAGTGAGTGAGTGAGTGAGTGAGTGAGTGAGTGAGTGAGTGAGTGAGTGAGTGAGTGAGTGAGTGAGTGAGTGAGTGAGTGAGTGAGTGAGTGAGTGAGTGAGTGAGTGAGTGAGTGAGTGAGTGAGTGAGTGAGTGAGTGAGTGAGTGAGTGAGTGAGTGAGTGAGTGAGTGAGTGAGTGAGTGAGTGAGTGAGTGAGTGAGTGAGTGAGTGAGTGAGTGAGTGAGTGAGTGAGTGAGTGAGTGAGTGAGTGAGTGAGTGAGTGAGTGAGTGAGTGAGTGAGTGAGTGAGTGAGTGAGTGAGTGAGTGAGTGAGTGAGTCAGTCAGTCAGTCAGTCAGTCAGTGAGTGAGTGAGTGAGTGAGTGAGTGAGTGAGTGAGTGAGTCAGTGAGTCAGTCAGTCAGTCAGTCAGTCAGTCAGTCCAGTCAGTCAGTCAGTCAGTCAGTCAGTCCAGTCAGTCAGTCAGTCAGTCAGTCAGTCAGTCAGTCAGTCAGTCAGTCAGTCAGTCCAGTCAGTCAGTCAGTCAGTCAGTCAGTCAGTCAGTGCAATATTCCAGGAATATCATGGCGGGGACATCAGAAATTGACTTCACACATTGTACCCATGAAGGGAATCGAACCCGGGTCTTAAGCGTGACGAGCGAACGCTGTCACCACTAGGCTATCCAAGCCTAATAATACACCATAAAACAGAATAATACAAAATTCTGAATTCTGTAAGGAAGTCACCGAGCAATGTATCTAGACCTAAAGTACCACGTGACCGAAATAGGTCACAATGGAATCCCCGTTCTGCACACAACATCAGTGTTCTAACAAACACTTGGACGTATGTGTAGAAAAAGAAGCAATGCTACAAATAACACGATAACGAACGCCCCGTTGTGGTATTAAGCAGCGTTTGGAATAAACCCACGATGACCATCTTCAAAGAATAGTAAAACATTCACATATTAGTCTCTACAAATACCGTATTCGACATAATAAGCGCCCAGGGCGCTCTCAAAATGAGAAATGGGGGGCACTTATTAGAATATTATTTTGGTGAAAAACAACAGTGTTGAAAGATCTTACATTTCGTGGTTTATGCTGACAGCCTGAAATGTTTATATACGACAGATATATTTTTCCAGAATTTAATTTCCTATAATTAAGGGTGCATATAACATACGTATTATACAAGAATAAATATGTCTTGTGTACATTGATCAATCGGAAGGGGTGCTAATTGGGATTGTTCACTAGCCAATATATTAGCAAATATGGCCATGGGCGCTTATTAGAGCGGGGCGCTTATTACGTCGAATACTTTATTCATTTTCCACACAATCTGTTAAGTATCGAAGTCTTTACACACCTTAATTGTTTTTTGAATCTTGGGTCAAAGAAACCATACAGGAAACAGTTCGAGACAATGGTGATGTATACAAAGTTGTACAGCACGATGTATCCTCCCTGGGACAAGAGTTCATAGCCATAACATGGCGCCACTCGGAATAGTACGTAGATGGTGAAGAACGGCAGACACGAGACAATGTAGACAACGGTGATCAAGAAAAATATCAATGTCATTCGTTTCCAGGGAAGCCTCTTATCAGCTTCACTGTGTTTACACGGGGTCAGATCCTTCAATACCCCCTCTTGCTGGTGGGGATTTTCTGCGGGGCTACATGTGTATTTCGATTCATGCTGGTCTTCTCCATCGTCAGGTTTCTCAAGTGGTGTTCCTTTGTAGAACATGTCTTGCTCCGGCGAAAATGAGGACATGGAGTTTTCTACATGTAAATCCACGTCTGTCTGACGTTTGACTGTCGTGGCTGACATCGGCTGATTTGGAAGCCTCTTACTAGAAGAGGCCAGTTCTTCGCCTGATTTCGATTCTGCACCTTGGGTTAATGTATTTACTTTTGGTGCTTTCTTCCCCCACACACGTGGAATTCTCACATTGTCTGGGTATACTTTGTTAAATCGTTTGTGTCTTTGCTTGGTATCCACTTCAACCTTTGATGATTCAAGCAGTTGACATCTCGGACGTGTCTGCCCTGAACTTCCTGACTCAATAGCTACTTTCGTTGAATACGCATTCGCACTTGTTCGATGATGAGAAGTGCCTTGTTTGTCAGGAGAAGTGTCTGAATGACCGACATGATCACGTGTCTCTGACTGCCTCCCCATATCCGACTGTAGGCCCTTATCCAAGCCCTCGTCCGAAGACCGATACAATCCTGAAGGGTGCAGTGCGGACGTCGGTCCACCATCAACATCGTCTTTTGCAACAACTTGCTTGTCGGTGGTTGAGTTGTGCGTAAATCTAGTAAGGGTCGTGTCCTGTAGGCCTTCGACCCCTCTGTTAGAATTCTTGCTGAGTCTTCTGACCTTGACACCAATCAGGATGTAGACAGCAATAAGAATTGGAAGAGGGAGGATAAACGGGAGGATGACACAAATGAAATTCAGTTCCTGTAACCATTCCTGGATAGTCTTGTTCACGAACTCAGCTGATACGAATGCCTCGGCCCTGTAGCACTGATTACTGGTATAGCTCGTGACAACCATGCGCACAATGGTAAATATTGTCATGATGACGATAACACAGGTAACTAAAATCTTGGCCATTTTTGGTGACATCTGTAGCTTGAATGGCTCACATATCCGTCTGTATCTGTCAAAAGACATCAAGGGAAGAATAGACACCGAGACTTGCAGAAAGTAAATCCGAACTATATCCAATCTGGCCAGATTTGGATTACTAAAGAGACTGCCATATCGTAGAAGAGTGATCTTGTAGGGAAGCGACACACATGATATCAGATCAAAAACAGCCAGAGACAAAATGAACACCCTTGTCGTAGACTCCTTGAATTTAAGTCCATATATGTACAGAATGAGAATATTCCCGAAAACACCCACAGCAGCAAACAATGAAAACATTATTACAACTGGAATGTTTTTGACAAACTCCCCTTGTTCGTCCTCACATGAAACATTTTTTGCTTGTAAACAATTTGAAGCCATGCCGGTAATAAATGAACATGTGTCCGTTTGTTAATAATATTTGTCCTTCGTAATGTTACATCATACCATCAACACCTGACTCTGAAGGACATATGCTTCTCAGTTGAACTCCACACGCTCCATACACGTTTGGCCGTCAATCATAACGAAAGCAGCCAATAACAGAAGGGAACTGGCAATATGAGGATGTGAGAGAATGCTGTTCTGTATCGTAAGTGATTCCAAACCCAATCCAGGTATTTCGTATTGACACTGATAAGTAGAGTAGGGCAGGATAAATATGTTCAGGTTGTTTTGAAAATGTCCGATTCAGAGCAACCGATACATCATGACGGTATTGCCGGTATTGAGAGGCAAGGTGGGGATTGCAAACATTGCTTATCAGCTTCTAGCTTTTACTATTATTGTTATAGACGTCGAGGTTTGCTCTTGTTAGTGTTGTCCTGACAATCGTAAATTGTACGAGTCGTAACGACGTCATGAGGCTGGGTGAATGTGTAGCTCCATTTGATTGTGATTGTGTTTTGCCACTCGGGTCCACTCGGCCAATACCTCTACACGCTCAGGCAGCAGTGGAGAGGCGGTGGTGCCTGATTTTCGCTGTAATCCGTGTAATGAGTGAATTGGGTTACTCACAGCTTTCAACAGTATTCCAGTTATACCACAGCGTATCAGCTTAATGTGGGTGGAAGGCCGAGCGTGAGGCAGGTCTCAGACGTTGACCACTTTAGTGAAACCCACGAGCACGGTGTGGTGCTGACAAACCTAGAAACATAATAAAGGTGAACCTGGAGTCGAACCCACGATCATGGGGCGCATCTTTTCACATTGATTTTGTTCGCGTTAGACGACTGGGCCACCCCCGCCCCCTGTAATTATGTAATCCGGGTCATGCCAAATGCCGACTCATATTATACTTTAGTTAACACGGTGGCGTTTTGTGAACACAGGTTAATCTTTGCTTAAAAGAGAGTAGGTATACAGGTTAATTTAAATAGAGGCGTTCTGAGGGTTCGCGACTGTCGCCAGGTTATGTTGTTTCACGTGATCATGCACAAGGCTAGTTCCAGTATGGATTCTGCCGGAGCTTAGCTGAGGCCCCATTGTCCTGAGGTGCGGTGACATGGGGCTTAACGTCACGTTCAACCCTAAGACTATTGCAGACACATAGCGACGTGTATGCACGTGTGAGTTGCTGCTTATACCGGTTTTATAGTGCTTGCCTTTGGTGTGCATGTGCGCGCGCTCGCGTTTGTTTGTTTTTGTGTGTATGTGTGTGTGCGTGTGTGTGTGCTTGTGCTTGTGTGCATGTGCATGCATGCGTGTGTGCGTGTGTGCGTGTGTGCGTTTGAGACTGCTTGTACTGATCAGGACTAATAAAGGTTTTACTGAACCAGTCCCGTGCTAGCAGTTTAACATAGATACCCACACGGACAATACCCTGACTCCGAGCCGACCCATCCATTTATTATCATCTTATCGCCGAGCGCCAGACAGCGTAACAATAAGTACAGTTTTAACGTCTTCCGGTATGACGCGGCTGGGGATCGGACCACAGACCTCCAGACACTGCATCCACAAGACCACACAGGCGGTCCTCAATTTCCTGTTTCATGTCGAGTGGACGTTTTGGCAGAAAAGATCTTCAGCATCTCATTTTCGTCGAGTTGTATGTTATGTGGATTGGGTGGTCAGGCTCTGTGACGTGGCTGATTGACTGTCATCGTATCCCGATGGAGAGGACCACGCCATACTTCCAGTCACTGGTTTGATTTGTCCAGGTTCGCGTATTTAACCGCAGTGGTGTGGCTGGAAAGGTTTTAATGTTCATGTCAAACAATATTCTGCCATGCTCAAGGACCGACTATGGGTATTGGGTGGTTACTGGTTGTGGCCCGGAAGATTATGCATCGTCGTATGCGTATGCTGTTGGTTATGCTATGGCGTGCTGCATGGTGAGTCTCGTCGAGAAATCGATTGCTTAATTTTGCTGCAGAGAATATGTACAATCAGGGAATAAAAATATTCAGGTAATATGTATGATCAGGGAGTGAGTGAGTGAGTATGGTTTTACGCCGCTTTTAGCAATATTCCAGCAATATCACGGCGGGGAACACCAGAAATGGGCTTCACACATTGTACCCATGTCGGGAATCGAACCCGGGTCTTTGGCGTGACGAGCGAACGCTTTAACCAATAGGCTACTCGACCGCACCCTTATGATCAGGGAATATGTATAATCAGGGAATATAAATGAACAGGGAATATGAATAATCAGAGAATATACATAGACAGCGAATATTAAAAATCAGGGAATATCATAATTAGGGAATATGTATAATCAGGAAATATATACATGTACAATCAGGGAATATATACAACCAGGGAATAAGAGCAATTAGGGAATATGTATCACCAGGGATTATGTATAATCAGGGAATATGATTAGCATAATCAAAGAATATCAATAACCGGGGTTTGACCGGTTTTGTGACCAGGTCCAGAAACCTACTTGTCAGGTATGCGACGTCGTGGTTATTATAAATTCCTTCGTGGACATTTTATGTTTATGTTTGTAGTTTATGTGCATTTTGTGGCATGAGCGTGTAGTAATAAACATATTCAAGTAATGATTTTATTATGAACGTGTTGATACTTCACAATATCCAATAAGGTTATCCAGACAATGTGATTCTATAACAGGAACACAAATATCCCGGTTTCATCATGTCGCCGAAGGCGGCCCAGATTGCTGCGCAGATTTAATTGCCTGAGCCGTGTAACTCACCAGTAATGGTCCTTGATTTGTCAGCAACATGACCGTGCTCGTTGTCATCAAAGCGGTAAACGTCTACGACCTGTGTCGCTGTTGGCCTTCCTCTCACATCAAACTGACGACCGTGCTATTGCTGACCTAAAGTGTCTTTTTACGGGGAAATACGGTTAAAGAGGCTGCAAATAATATCTCATGTAAGACATAAATGACTTGTGGTCGGTGTTTATCGTACAATCAAACACTGCAGGGAGAATGAACCATTGCCACTGCAGCGTTTTATTGCACGTTAAACTACATCCCTTGTCGTTTAAGACCGCCTCCGTGGTCTAATGGTAGAGCGTCCGCCCGGAGAGCGGAGGGTCCGGGGTTCGATCCCCGACCGCGTCATACCAAAAGACGTTAAAAGATGGTACTTGTTGTTACCCTGTCTGGCGCTCGGCATTTAGGGGCTAAAACAAAGACTGGTCGGCTCGGAGTCAGTATACTGTGTCTGAGTAGGGTATTCATGTTAAACTGCGGCATGGTATCTCAGTGAGCTAGCACTATAAATCGGCATTAATCCGGACTGGTACAAGCAGCCACACACATACATACACGTACACGTACACGTCGCTATATAAGTGCAATTATCTTGGGGTTAAACCCCATTTCACCTCAACTCACCTTGTCGTTTATTTCTTCAATAGAAGGAGCAAAGTAAATGTGGACTATGACGTCATAGTGGGGGATCATACATGTCATGCGCATGTCAACCACATAAACCGATGACGTCAGATAATAACATATCGAAACGTGTCTTAAACGTGTCTTTAATGTGAATAATAAAGATTAAATATTAGAATAAATGGAATACCTCCTTTTTATATCAGGTCATATAAAATGATAGGCAGTGAGATTTACCATACATTACAGTCAGTACAACGGTAACATATGGAAATGACACGTGATGTCCTTACACCGCCCTTACGGTATCTAATCATTTCAACTTTCAAACGGGGGCACGGGTGACCCAGTTGTCTAAGGCGCCGCGATTCGCTGTGCAGAGTTGCGTCCCTTGGGCAAGCCAGAAACCTATGATTGTGGGTTCGAATCCGGTTCGCCCCGATTATGTTTCTAGGTTTGTCAGCACCATAACCGTGCTCGTGGGTTTCACCGAAGTGGTAAACGTCTGAGACCTGCATCACTTCGGGCTTTCATCCCACATTAAGCTGACACGCCGCGATATAACTTGAATATTGTTAAAAGCGGCGTTAAACCAAACTCACTCACTCGTTCAACTTTCAAACAGGGTTCAGGCCTCGAGGCAGCATCGTAGAGATATGATAGTGTCGCAGTGCACGACCTATATCAAGCTATTGCACAGCCAGAGACCCACAGCAACGTCCATGGTCCAACAATTTGTCGTAAAACCGATTTCAGGCAACAACACAGATATGGCGTCACAGTACGTGACCTATGCCTAGCTGTGGTGCTGGCATGACCCTCACAAGTCACAACAGGTCATGTGACTGATTTCAGGGTGTGACCTGGGCAAATATTCACACTATCTAATGACAGATTTCGAACAAATTAAACTTGATAACAAGCCTCACGTAGACACGGTTGATATGAATATTTCCCATATCGGTCAGTTTTGATGAGGAAAATGTCGGTTACCTACAAAATGCTGTCCTCATTGCTTTGCCAACTCGGTCGATCGTCAATAAATGACAATGACAATGACTACCTTTTATTGTTCTTTGGGCCAACAGACCCATACAACATATGCCTTTACTTCTTTAATATAATGTACACACGTGCGATGTTTTTAACTTATTGTTCAATATTTTAATGAATCTTGAACACGTAATACATAAATTTAGCAAGCAAAATTATTGTTTTCTTATTATTGGATCTTCTATCATGACAAACAATAATATTAGAGGAAAAACACGAAGAGCTTGGGGACAGTGCAAGCTTCCATGTTCTTCATCTTCTAAAACAGTTAATTTAATACAACGAATATCCTTATTATCCTCGAATATAGTACTTAAATCTTTCCAATGGGGGCACAGGTGGCCCAGTCATCCTAAAGCGTCCCTTGGGTAAGCCAGAAACCTATGATTGTGGGTTCGAATTCCGGTTCGACCCGATTATGTTTCTAGGTTTGTCAGCACCATACCCGTGTTCGTGGGTTTCACCGAAGTGGTAAACGTCTGACACCTGCATCACTTGGGACTTTCCTCCCACATTGAGCTGACACGCCGTGATATAACTGAAATACTGTTAAAAGCGGCGTAAATCCCAACTCACTTACTCACTTTCCAAGATTTCTGAATGGCTCCTGCATAATACCCCCTTCGGAATTTAAGCAGTGCCTTCTTATAATTTATTACTTTTAGGCCATATAAAACGTTTTCTCTTTTCAAATCACTTTCCAAAGTAGAATAGAATGTTAACGATGAGCTATTTTTAAGCTTAAGTCTTGTTTACAACAATCAATCAGTCTTTGTTTGAAGACATCAACAAACAGTGACATGTTACTGACATCTTGAGCAATCCATACCTCGCCAAACCCACACAGAAAAAGCAGATTTCTGATATGTTTAATCCAGTTTGGGTATGTTCTGTCGCAGGTTTGTTTGAGCATATCAAAGCATTGAAATGGATACCTGTCACGTGGCATTGAAATCAGACGGAGCAAATAGCGGATGCAATTCACATAAAGGGTACTATATATACTAAATAGAGAGTGCAAGACGTATCTCAGATTTCTGGCACTATACTTTAGGTTTTTATATGATACTGAACTTGGAAGATGAAGAGTTACGGTAAGATATAAAGAGGAGGAATTTCTTCTTACCAGTATGTTTTACTTAGTTGACATAATACATGTTCTATTAGCAATTCAGATG